AAAAAAAAATGTAGAAAACCCCTGCCTTTCCCTCTCGGAGCTGGCTGGTGGTTTCAAACAGTTGACTCCATGATTAGTAGCTCAAAGCACAGCCCACTTGGCCACCCGGGCGCCCTCGGCTCCCCAAGAAATTGCCAGTATTTCTCACAAGCCTTCCTCGCCAGTGTTGGGAAAAGTAGCAATCCCGGGAGCCCAAATCAGGCCTCACATAAGCCGCCGAGGGTAACCAGTCCTCTTGTTCATTTGCTGTGTGACTTTGGCCAAATGGTGAGCTCTCTGGTGTGGCAACTTCCTGGATGCCCTCACTGCAAACTGGCATCTGAAGTCCTTTCAGGCCTCTCAGTGCCCAAGGTGCAGGTATAAAACGGTGGTTTAAAACACACACACAATCCTCTTGCCAGTTGAATGGGTGGAAGATGGACGATGGTACCTTGTGCCCTTCGCAGGCCGAGCAACCCCCCCCACCTCGGCAGCCCATAGAGCCAGCGTCTGTGCATCTGTTTTCACTGGGGGCTGTTTCTCCACGTAAAACCTGATCTCTCCCTTGTTGTTGGCAAAGGTGCCTTGGACGTGGTGTCGCTGAGTCAGCAAGCCTTTTCAGAGTCGCCTGGGTTTTTGTTGTTCTTGTTTTCTATCAAGATGGGAACCCAAACAAGCTATTCCTGCTAAAGATCTGGCACCTCCATCAAGGAAGGAACAGGCTGTGCCAGCTCTCCAGGGAGAAGAGGTGAGAGTGGTTTTGCGGCCTTCTTTCTCAAGGAGGGAGAGAAAGTAGGGCCTAGGGAGGGGGACAGTTCGAGGGTGCTGGGCTGAAGGGGAGTCCTGGCAGTGGGTGGCTGGTTGCCAGCGGGCCAAGATAAATCCAGTTGGCTCCTTGCTGATGGCTTCGCAGGTTTAACCAGTCTTAGAGGATGGTTTCCACGTCAGGACGCGCTTTCTGGAGGTGAAGGACACAAGTCATGGTTTCTGAGATGGGAAACTAGACAGTTGTATTTCTTTGGTGACTCTAACCTACCGGGTGCCTCCTCTTTGTCAAACAATGGTCTTGGGCCAGCTTGCCAAGAGGAGAGACAAGATCTCTGCCCTCTGTTGGATGAGGGGGAAGAAGACAAGGACAGCAGCCAGAGACGCCAGTGTGGCCCATGCACTGTGTGCTGAGGTGGAGAAGCCCAGGGTGGAGGTCTCAGATCCAGCCCGGAAAGGGG